CACCACTTGAATGATTAAAATTATTATATTTTAATTAATTTGCAATTTTTAAAAAATTAATTTTTATATCTAAATTTTAATCTATAAGTTGAATTGCTTTAATTTATTAAATTTTATTTAACACTTGACTCATTAATTAATATAATTATATTACTTATTAACATAAATAATTAAAATATAATTATATTATTTATCTCTAAAATTTAATTTATTCATTGATATTTTCAACTTTATCAAATATTACTTAACATTTAACACATTATTTAATATAATTATATCATTCACTCTTTATTTAAATGATTTAAATATCTAATTTAACTAAAAAATAATGTGGACGTCCCTTTTGGGTTTATAAAAGTATTTCACATATAATTATAAAATATTTTGGAGTTTGGCCTTCCAAATAATTAAAGAAAAGTGGCCTGAAATTTTGAGGAATATTCATCTGCTCTCATTATTTGAATGCAATTTGCTGCTGGTGAATCCAATGAGTCTAAAAGTTTTGTGTTATTCGCAGGATGTTTTTATGAACATCTTAATGTGGTGGGAGGATTTTGATGGAAAGGTTCCAGCTCCTGCAATTTTGAAGCCACGTCCTCTTTGGACTGGGAAACAAGTTTTTAACCTTATCATACCTAAGCAAATTAATTTGCTAAGAACTTCTATGTGGCTTGCAGACAGTGAGACAGGGTTTATAACTCATGGGGATACTCAAGTTCGAATAGAAAAAGGGGAATTGCTTTTTGGAACCCTTTGCAAGAAGACTCTTCGAACATCTTCTGTAAGTCTTACACATGTTATTTGGTATGTCTTTGAGATTAAATAGGAAGATCCCAACGAATTATTTGACTTAATATCATGTTATTGTGGTTAGACCTGGCAAAATTAGATCTAATCCGAAAATCCGACCCACTCCATCTGTTATTGGTAGGGTCATGGATCCTATGTGTTAATTTGAAATCCAAAATAATCTGGACTGAAATTATCCGAACCCAAATGAATTGAGTCACGGGTAAGTCGGGTCACCCAAAATGACTTGAATTTTTTTTATTCATTTTTATTTGATTACTTAAAAATTAATGTTAAATTTATAATTTCTAATTTCCTAATCCTAAAAGTAAAAAATAAAATAAAATACTCAAACCCTAACCTCTCATCAATTTCACTTTCTCTCAACTTTTCCTCTTCTCCACTCTCGCTCTCCTCTTCTTCATCTCAAGCTCTCTAATCCTTCTCTTTAGTGGCACTTGCGTAAAAAATTAGATTATGTGGCACATAGTGATTTATGTCGTATGACATCGTAAAAAAGATCATTTTTAAAAAAATAACAAACAACAATGCTTACTGAAAATCAAAATCCAATGGTTGAGGAACCCTTATAACCATTAAAAGTACAAAGACAAGAACATCAAGAACATCGAGGTCTGTTCTTAATTGCTAATTTGTTCTTAATTAATAATTTGTTCTTAATTAATTAAGATCCAATTTCTTGTTGTATTTGGTTAGATATATTTTGGATTTGCATTTTAAACTTTAATATTGAATAGGGTTATATTTTTGTATAAGGCTCTCCTAAATATTGAATTGAATTGTCTTTTTTGTATAATACTCTTATAAATATTGAATAGGTACTAAATATTAATATATATATATATATATTGGATTTATCTTTTGAACTTTAATCCTTCACGTCTTTTGTTTTAATGAAGGTTAATACTTTTATTAAATTATGAATTCGAAATATTGTATAGGTATTATATATTTGGCATATATTTTAGTTTCACTTATATAATCACTAATCTTTTTCTTTTCTTTTCTTGAGATTGGAAAAAAATTGAATTATAAAATGAAAATTAACGTTTAATAAAGTTTTCTAACTAAATAGTTAATTGGTAATAAAGTTTTTTAACTAAATAATTAATTAGTATTTGATTTTGTTAAAGAAAATTAGAGAAAAATATAAAAAAATTAATTTTAATTTTTTAAAAGTTAAGTTCACCCGACCCAATCTGAAACCCGTTAGGATGGGTCATGGGTTAATCTCCTTAACCCAACACTCGAAATGATCCAATCCGAATAACTCGGGATTCAAAATAACCCAATTCGAACCCACCCAATCCGACCTATTTGTTAGATCTAATTGTGGTTGGGCTACCACTTTTTTCAAAATTTCTACTATATTTTTTAGTTAAAATTTTAATTTTTTTTCCTCATCCAAATGAAAGCTTACCTGAATCTTAGGCCTAGGACGTGAAAAAAAAATTGGGCTTTTGGGGAAATTGACAATTCATAATTCTCATCTGTAGTTAATTTTTTTATTTGAAAAGCTTACTTAAATCAGTATGTAACATATGTAGGCTTTGTGATTCTGCTTAATAAATGCTTTAGAAATTCATGTTGTTGGTTCCTCATGGAATGGGTGCAATTGCCGGTCAATGAACAAGGGCCTTTTCCACCGGAAAATTTTAGCCAAGTGGTTCTTATTGTTGAAATTTACTTCCAACAACAAGAACCATGTTGTTGAAAGTGAAGAACACTTTTTGGGGAAAAAGTGTACTATTTAAGTATCAGTAACATGGGTCTTGTCGATGAAAATCCATATCACTGACATGCTCCCACATTACTGATTAATTTATGGAATTGATGCAACACTCGATCATGAATAGTAACTAAAAAATTTCAGCAACGTGAGCTTTATCAGTGAAAATCCATATCACCAACAAGCAATTCTATGTTGTTGGTACTTAGTTGTTGAAAAAAAAAAAAAGAATTTTAGTAGTGAGCAATTGAAAACTCCAAGATTCAATTAATGAAAAAAAAAGTTCATGTCTTTTTGTTTTTTAATATTCTAGTAGATATATTAGGTATAAAATGTAAGATCTATGTCATTTTTTTCCTCTCTCTTTCCCTTTTATTAAGTAAAATTATGGTGTATTATAGTTATAATATCAAATAAAATTATAAATTTATAATTATAATATGACATTAAATAGGTATAATATAAAATTGAACTGATGGATGTTTATAATTTCATGAATAAATTTATAAATGAAAAGAGATAATTATATAACAATATATTATATTATAAAATTATAATATCATATAATATTATAACTATAACATTTTCAAGAAAATTAATGATAATGGATAAGGTACAATAGAAAAGTATTTCAAAATCAGCCTTGTAAAAAAAAAAAAAATCGACCCAGACAAGAAAAAAAAATACTTTTAATAAATGAAATGTGCATATATGTGTGTGTTTTTTCTTTTCTTTTCTTTTTTGCTGAGTTACATAATGAGAAATAATTTTTTATCATATTTTAACTCCTTTCACCTATATATTATATTATGCAAATTTGTAATATCTTAGCTTTAATAAAATAAAATAACCATTGAAAACTATTAAAATTATTAGCGCAATGTTATAATACAGTGATAATTAAAATTGTAAATTTATAATCATGTATGTAATTAAATAAGTATAATATATCATTAAATAAATTTTTAAATAAAAATAATTAATTATATAATTACATATCATTTGTAAATTTATAATAATATGTGATATTGTAATTAAATTATTTTCAATTTAGATAGGTAAAAAGGGGAGTTACAAGCATTTCAATTTAGATTGGTAAAAAGGGGAGTTACAAGCATACTTTTCTATAACATTTCTGATTATCCAATCCTAAATATTACCTTTTATTATAATATACTTATATTTAAGTGGTTTAGTTTGCAATTCTTTGGATTGGGGGAAATAAAGAAGGGGAGGGATTGAAATGAATTTTTCTCTTATTAAATTAAGATAACCAGTAGTAAAGAATTTAAACATAATATTCATATATTTTTTTATCATATTGTAGAATAAGAAGTAATTATTTTTTATTTTATAACTTATTTCATCTAGAAGTCATGTGAATTAAACTCTTAATTTCTTAGACTTCATCTGTTAGTGTTGTACTTTGTTAATTATAGCCATATACATATATATATTGTTTTTTATTATCTCTAAAATATATAAAATATTAATTTAAATTGATCTATAAAAAATTAATTAAAATAATAAATTTATATTTTTAGATAGCATATTATGTAAAAAAATATGTGTGATGCAATGTCAAACAAAATTAATTACTGTTAACTACTTAATTAGGTCACTGGCACATAACAATCACAATTTGAACTTAAAATATTGGCATGATATAAAAATTATAAAATTTAGCTAATGTTGAGAAAAATTAAAATATAAATCTGTTGGGTTGGCTCTTAGTACCAATATCAATCATGCCGAAAACGGGTCCAAATATTGCTACGAAGAATTGGTTTCTAAATGTTGATACTCCAACATATTTACTTAAAATCAAATACTACAAATAATCTATCATTAAAAAAAAAAAAATGAAAACTACTCATGGTCTACTGGAGTTCTTGCAATGACGTAGCCTAAAGCTTAGAAAAAAATTGAGCCGCATAAGCAAATTTTAAAT